ATAGGCCGTGGGAAGCTGCATCCTGAGCTGCTTGTGGTTTAGATAGAGCTCTGAAAGGCACCTCTGGAAATGGGGGGCTAAAGATGGAATGTGTGTCACAAAGAACTTAGAACCACAGCACCGCCCCCGCCCCCTCCCCGGCCCCGTTGGGGCTGTGCCTGCCTGACCCCAAAAAAAGCTGGTGGCTCGTCTTCTGGAAGAGGCATCATGGCAGGTCCCTAGACTGGGGCCATCAGCAGAGTGGATAGCAGGACTGAACTAAAAGAATGAGTGACAGTTTGCATCCTGAATGTTGTCACCCTTGGTGTCCTTCCCTTGGCTCCCACACTGGCTGCCAGGGTTGCTCACTGCAGTTGGAGGAGCTTTCTCTGGACAGTCTGGCGAGCCCTGAGGAATGTCCTAGACAGCTCACCCCAGTGTGGAGACTGGAGTCAGAAAGTTTCTACTTTCTGAAGAGTTCTGAAAAGAGATTAGAGAAACCAAAGGGTCAGGAACCATCAGGGAAATAATTTCCCCAAATGGAAAGGCATGAGTTTGCAGCCAAGAGGGCCCCCTGAGCATCCAGCACCATGAATGAAAACAGCCCCCTATCAAGGCAAAGATCCTAAAGCTTCCAGAAGGAGGAAAGAGGTTATGCCCAGATTAAGAATGGCATCATCTTAGCGCAAGACACAGGAAGCTAGGAGATAATGGAGCAGCGTCTCTAAAATTCTGAGAGGAAACTCTCACAAAAAAATCTGTACTCAGCTCTTATGGGCTGAATTGTGTTCCCCCAAATCCTTTGTTGAAGCTTTAACCCCCAGCACCTCAGGATGTGACTGTGTTTGGAGGTAAGGCCTTTACAGAGGTGATTAAGTTAAAATGAGGCCAGTAGGGTGGCCCCTAATCCAGTCTGACTCTTCCTATAAGAAGAGGAAAATTGGATGTACAGAGGAAAGACCATGCGAGCACATCACAAGAAGGCAACCATCTGCAAGCCAAGGAGCGAGGCCTCAGAAGAAACCAACCCTGTCAGCACCCTGATCTTGGGCTTCCATTCCCCAGAACTATGAGAAACTAAATGTCTGTAGTTTCAGCCGCCCAGTCTGTGGTATTTTGTTATGGCAGCCCTAGCATGCTAACGATAGTCAACGTATCAGGGAAATGTGAGAGTAGAAAAAGCGATTTTCAGACATGTAGGATCTCACAAAAGGATATTCCTCAAGCACCCTTTCTCAGGAAGCGTTTGGAGGATGTACCCTACTAAAATGAAGGCATAAAGTAGAAATAAGAAAGCCCTAGATCCAGGAAACAGGGAGCCCTGAAACTATTCGCAGCACCAAGAGGATGGCCAGTCTAAGCAGGGCAGCTTAAAGGGCCTACAATATACACCTTCAAGTAGACAAAACCAGCAGGATGCCTGCTGTGATTGAAAGTGTGCAGAAGAGAGAAGCCAGATACAGGGACAGCAGGACAAAGCGAAGGCCCTGCAGGAAAGGAAGACTGAATGGCTCAGCTATGACCCAAATGTACATGGTCGCCACCACATAAGCCCTGTACAGGCCCCCCGCCAGCAATACACTCCTGCGTGGGGTGGGGAGGGGCAGGTGCCGGTGCAGGGCTATGTATCAGGGAGTGTGAAATCCTCTTCCGTAGAGAGTGCCTCCAACTGACTAGCAATACAAGCTCGTTAAAGATACCTGCTGTTTTCAGTTGAGAAAAAACAGGCCCTCTTTCTGTTGGTGGGAAAATAGCTTGATAGAATGTTTCTGAGGGCTGGTTAGTGACCATAACATTAAAAGCCTTAAAAATATGTGCAATTCTAAAAAAAAAACACCAAAAATAAAAACAACTGTGCAATCCTTTTATGGTAGAATAACACTTCTAAGAAAAAGATCAGAGTTGTGTGCAAACACATTAAGCTGCTCACCACAGCAGCTTAAAATATCACAAACCTGGAAGTAACGTCCAATGGTGGAAGATTGCCTCTCCCAATGATGGAATTCTCTGTAGCCTTTAAAGTGTACTAGAAAAGAAATTCATCGACTTGAGACTCAGGAAGTATGAGAAAAATTTACATAAGCATATATAGTAAAGTGGCTGGAAATATTTTTGGGTGGTGGAGTTATAGATGATTTTTCTTTTAGAGGTGTATTTTATATTTTTTACATTTTGAAAACGTGATACTTCTGCAAAAGGATGTACATTCAATCTGAGAATAAAGGCTGTGGTAGAGGCATAGTTGTGATTCTCTGGTTTTGTTTCTCAATTCAATAGATTATGATTTCTATTTCAAAGCCATTTCTTATTATGAATAATGGGGAAGTAAGGTAAATTGGTGGCTGGCACATGAGTCAACAGAATCAAGCATTTATTCTAAGCCTCCAAGGAGTTTCTGAAAATAGTATTTTATCTTCATACTCAGGATGAAGCTGGAGGCAGATTCGTCGCTTTCTCTGGAGAAGGACAGTCGTTGCGTAAAAAGGGAAGAAAGCCATAAGTTGGGACTGTTGGCTGATTGGAAAATAAAATAATCAATTGCAACATAATGGCTTTTAGTTACTGGCTCTGATGGAGATGAGACTGTTGCAGTGGATGCTCTGTCACTTTAGGTTTTGTTTAGAGTTACCTAAGAATTACTGCGTGTGACCTGTAAGTGGAACATTCAGACTTGGTGGATGATTTTGGGAAGGAGAAACCTTACTCTGAGATCCTGCAGGCAGCCTCCTCCTTGCCCTTTCTTGCTTTCAGCCCTTGAGGGGTGCTCCCAATGCCTTAGCCAAAGCAGAGTTCCCTAATTCCTGATAAAAATCAATGGAAGGGATTGAATTGCTCTAACTTGAGGTGTTGTTTCTCTTTTTTTCACTTATCCTTTGTTTTTCCAGGTCGACGATAGCTTAGAGCGTTACCTTTGGCCTAGAAAAAAGTGGCTTAAATAGAGACATGCTCTATAAATAGTGGTTATCCCATTACTCTGGCTGCAATTTAAGTGTATGAGGAAGGGTGTTTTTATTTTACATATTGATATTTTTTTTTTCCAAAAGAACCATTCTTCAGAAGGTGGATTCCTGATCTGAATACACTTCATCTTGTAATTTGATTTCATATGGAAATAACTTGCTCGTTTATGAATCGGTTCTACAGTGAAACAACTTCATGATGAAGCACAAATATGAATATTAGAATAAATAAGTGCTAAAGATAATTTCTCCTTCCCTACCCCCCACTCCCAGTTAATGTATTAAATTATCCAAGGTTCTGCTGGCCTACCTTTTTTATTAGCATTAATTTGGTCTCAGATCACTTTCTATAATGTGAGATCTTTTGACATGTTAATCTAATTTAATCTCTTTTGTTCCTTGAAAAGAATTTTACATCAAGAATTTCAAATAAAAACAGGCAATGATTAAACCTGGATTGCCTCTAAATGTTTGATTAGGTATCAACATGGGTTGGTGGTTGGGCCACCAGCCAGGAGTTGGAGGAAGACTTGCTTGCAGGTGTCCCTTGTTCCATCCTGCCATTAGAAAAGAGCTCCTCTGGGGGGCTTCTGGAGAATGTATGGAGAAATGAGGCTCTCTGACCCCTGCACTGGGGATGGTCAGCCTGAGCAGGGTCTCCTCTTGTAGGAGGACTCCTGCTTGAAGGTAGAGGGGTCCATCTCTGGATAGAGCTCCTTCAACACACAAGAGAGGATGTTCCCTTCAGGATGGTGGCCCAGGGTCCACCCACATGTCATCAGATCAAGATCATAGGTGATTGTCATGAAGATGAGGGCTGGGCTATGGCCCAAACAGTCACCACTGATGATGGACAAGGTTTCAAGAGGCATGAAGCACTGCTGTGACCCGTGATCCTCCACTTAAGGCACATCTGTTTCACTAGCCAAGGCAGAAGTCCTCCTTGGTGGGTGGGCAGCCTCCATTTGCAGGATCACATTGGCTAATGTGTCATTTGATGCATAATGAATTTTACAGGAAGGCACTGACTGGCCTTGGGTTTTTGTCTTCCCTAAGCAACACCTACTGTGTAAGCAATGAAATCACTCATGGTCCTTTGCTTGAGCCACACTTCCCTGCCTGGGCCAGCTTCTGGTAACAAGCGGGGAGGGGTAACCCAGAGCAAAAATCCTGGTCATTACTGCTGCACCCTGGCCTGCAGCCTTCTCTGTCTTCAAGCTTGGTCTGTGAGCCAGCTTAGCAGGAGCCCTGGTAAAATTGCATCTTTCTGGCCCACCTTGAGGGAGTCTGACCTAGTCTCGTTACTGGGGTGGGCCCAGCAACCGCGTTGTAAGGGACTCCCCCATGGAGGATTAAGTTTGCGTAAGTTGGAGAACCTCTGCATAGGTATTGCAGGGCTACTCTGCAGATTACCAGGCACTTTGCTTTTTATTGCCTCTTGTGCACCTCTCCTGTTTATAAACGTTCCGTGTCTTCCCACGCCTCAGAGTAAAGCCTTCACTCCTAATCAGACATGCAAGGCGCCCCACACTTGCAAGGTTCTCTCCTCTACCCCGTGACACACACAGCCTCCACGCCTTTGACCAGCCCACCGCTGTGCTCAGAAAACCCTTCGCTCGCCTCCACTACCAGCCTGCGTTCCCTCGGGAAATCATCCGGCGCCCTAGACCGCCAACTACCTACTGGTCACGCCCAGCCACCCTCACCGAGTCCGCTGCAGCCGCAGACTTGGCAGCTTTGCCACAGGGCGTTGATGCTCAGTATGTGCTTATGAAAGCGAACCCTATCTTTTGAGATTTCATTAAACTGCTGAAAACCGGCCTGGACCCCGTGGTTTCAGAAATAGCTAACTTCAGGTGGCTGTGCAGCCCGGGACGCCCGCCGGGCACCAGGCGAAGGGCCGCTGTCATCCATTTGGCCTGGCAGGCTGCACGCCCGGCGTTCTACCTCCGGACACGCCCCCGCCCGCACGGTCCCTAGGCCCTCCTGGGCGTCTCCTCCGCTTGTCACCGCCCCCCGGCTGTTATTGGCGGCTCAGCCCGGATGTCTTGTTTATCGGCGCGTGTCACGGTGGGTGCCGAGTCAAGCGTCACATCTCGGAGTTCATTGGCTCCTCTCCGTCAAACACGCGGTGCGTCTGTCTTCAATCTTCACTGGCCAGCGAGCTCAGAGGTGGGGTTCCGCAGTCGCCCGGACATGGCGGACGGCGGCGCCTGGCGGGTAAGCGCGGGGGGCGCCCGGGACGTGCAGGAACCTCCTTGGGCCCGACGGCCGGGTTACCCGAGCCTTCTCCCAAGGAGGGGACGGGATGGGGGTCCCTAGGCGGGCAGTGCAGCGGCCTCCGGCTCAGGCGTGCTTCTCGCTGCAGCCGCCGCGCCCCTGCGAGGCCTACCGCGCCGAGTGGAAACTCTGCCGCAGCGCCAGACACTTCCTGCACCACTACTACGTCCACGGCGAACGGCCGGCCTGCGAGCAGTGGCGGCGCGACCTGGCCAGCTGCCGGGAGTGGGAGGAGCGCCGAAGCGCGGAGGCCCAGGTGCACGGGGGAGCCGGGGGTGGCCCTTGGGCCGCGGGGGTGCATTGCCCCGGCGTTCGAGTGCGCGGACCACACCCTCCCCCACATTCCAGGCCCCGGGACACTGGGAGAGGAGTACTGCCTGGGTCCCTCCTTTTGTTGTGCTTCCTTTCTCTTGAGAAATATCAAAAATTAGTATATCAGCGGGGCTTTCAGACACTGAAGGACAAAGAAAGGAGAACGTAGAGTGGTTTGGAGAGAAAGGAGAGATCCCCTAACAGTGACAGTGTCCTCAGCAGGCCTGCGGAGGGGGTGATATTGCTGAGGCCTGAAAGACCAGGAACCAGCCTTAACAGCCTTCACCCGGCCCAAGGCGGGGCGCATCTGAGGAACACAAAGAAGGGTCAAGTGCTTGGAGCAGGAGGGTGGGCTGTAGAGGGGTAGGGGGTTAGGCTGGAGAGGTACCAGGGACCTGGTGGGCCTTAAAGAAGGGTTTAGATTCAGCCTAAACGTGTGCTGGGAAGCATGACTTGATTTATATCTTTAAAAGATCAGTCTGGGGGTCCTGGGTAGCTCAGTTAGTTAAGCGTCTGACTCTTTGATACCAGCTCAGGTCTTGATCCCAAGGTCATGAGTTCAAGCCCGCATTGGGCGCCAGGCTGGGCATGGTTAAAAAAGGGGGGGGGGGGGCGTGCGGGGAGTGCCTGGGTGGCTCAGTTGGTTGGGCAACTGACTCTTGATTTGGGCTCAGGTCGTGATTTCTGGATTGTGGGATCAGGCTCCACGCTGGTGAGGGAGCCTGCTTGGGATTCATTTTCTTTCTCTCTCTCTCTCTCTTTCTCCCTCTCCCCCCACTCCACTCCTCCCCACCTCTCTTAAAAATATATAGATATAGATATTTATCAGTTTGACTGCCAGGGTGGGAGAGTGTATTATGAAGGACCAAAGAGACCAGTGAGGAGGTGGTTCTGGTTTTCCATTCATTCAGCGAATACTTATCATGTTGGGAGCTCTTAAAGATACAGGAGTGATGAGAACAGAGCCCCTGCCCTTCTGGCACCTTCATTCTAGTCTAGAATAGGCAGTGGTGCCTTGGAACTGTTGTGGATGGGGACATGAAGAGAAGCTTGAGGGTGCAGTGCTCATGGGGAAGGGGGAAGGGGACCCAGCAGGACTGGCAACTGCTTCAGCATGGTTAAATGTATGTGATTATCAAACAAACAGATGTGGAAAGCAAGCTGCTGTATAAAAGAAAATGATGACAGGTCCATTATAAGTGGAAATCAAAAAATTGGGAAAGATAGCTTGTAGCCTATATAGCAAGAGATTAATAACGTTTTTTAGAGAGACCTCATATCAGAAAAATGGGGATGATTTCAGAATAGAAAAGTGGGCAAAGGGGTGCCTGGGTGGCTCAGTCGGTTGAGTGTCTGCCTTCAGGTCAGGTCATGATCCTAGGGTCCTGGGATGGAGCCCCGTGTCAGGCTCCCTGCTCAGCTGAGAGCGTACTTCTCCCTCTTCCCCTCCCTTTCCCCCTGCTCCTGCTTTCTCTCTCTGAAATAAATAAATTTTTTAAAAATCTTAAAAAAAAAAAAAAAGTAAAGAAAAGTGGGCAAAGGGCACAAAGAAAGAATTCATTCAAAAAGAAAATCAAATGATCTGGTATACAAGGTCAAATGACAAGTGCTTTCTGCCCTGTGAAATATCAGAAGTGCCGATAAGGGTTTGGAGAGTCAGGGGTACTTGTGCAGTGTTGATGGAGTGTTACGTGTTCTGATTATCTGTCAAAAGGATACCTTTTGACCCCCTAGTTCTACTTCTGAAAGTCCATCCTAGGAAAGTAACTGGGTAACAGTGCAGTTAAAAGTTCAAAATATCTGGGGCACCTGGGTGGCTCAGTCAGTTAAGCGTCTGCCTTCAGCTCAGGTCATGATCCCAGGGTCCTGGAATCGAGCCCGCATTGGGCTCCCTGCGCGGCAGGAAGCCTGCTTCTCCCTCTCCCACTCCCCCTGCTTGTGTTCCTGCTCTCGCTGTCTCTCTCTCCGTCAAATAAATAAATAAAATCTTTTTTTTTTTTAAGATTTTATTTATTTATTTGAAAGAGAGAGACACAGCGAGATGAGAGAGAGAAGATGAAATTATATATGTAAAAAGCCCAGCATAGTGCTTGGCACCTACCAAGTGCACCTTTCATGGTCATAAGGTACTGCCCAGTGTTTATTGTGGGAGGAGAGTGGCAGAGAAAAGCCCGCAGGTTGAGTGGCACTTATTGTGTCTTTCCTCTGGATTCCTCGCCTGTCCAGGGCTCCCTGGGCATGTGTCTCTTGCCTCATCCTCCCCACTGTGGCCACTCTTTCAGACTCCTGTCTCGTGCTTGCTTTGGCAGCACATATACTAAAATCAGATTCTTGTCTTCTCTCAGCTCAGCCTCATGCTGGTCCCAGCAGGTAAATCTGGTTAGGTCAACTGAAGACATCAAGTCCTGAGGCCCAGAAGAGGACGTTTTAAACTTTACTCAAATTCTGGTATCTGCACAATAGTTTTTCACAATAGCTTGGGAGAAAGAATGATACAGATCTGTGTGTTTTAGTATGGAATAGTCGCCAAGGTTTATTAGGTAGAAGCAGCCAAGTTCTGGAGTGGTATGTGCCATACGCTTTGTTGTCCAGCTTGTTTGGGAGGGTGCTGAGGAGGAGGGAGGTACAGGGGCCACGTGAGCCGAAGTGACTGGGGTCTCCTTTGTACAGCAGTCCCTCTGTGAGAGCGAGCGTGCAAGAGTCCAGGCTACACGGAAGCATGCCCTGGTGTGGGCCCTAAGGCAGAGCCCTCCTGCAGACTGGCACCTCCCTCTGCCACAGGACGAGAAAGACCAGTGATGAGCACTCCTGAACGGCTTCCTCTGATCTGTTTCAAATGGGGCTGTCGCAAGACCCTGAGGACGGTGACGGGCCCAAACAGTCTAGTGGGTCCCTGAAGCTTCCACTCGGCTTAGAGCACAGAGCCTGAGGTCTCCAGCCCTAATTGCCCACTCCTGCTGCTGCCTTGCTCTGACACAGTTTCACCCACTGCACAGCTTCCAGGATGCCAAACACCATTGCAGAGCCCGGTGAGCAGCCAGGTCAGGCTGGTTCATGCTCCCCGCTGGGGACAACAGCACTCTCAGGTAAACTCTTGAGTGATAGCCCTGATCCAAGTGGATACATAGGGCGGTCAGAACGAGGTAACTAAATGGTTGTGCTGTGGTGAACACCTGTCCTGGTCCTGGTTTGGTGACACTGTGCATTGCCAGCCCCTGGTGCTTACACGGAGCTATTAGCCCACTCACTAAGTTCCTCTGTGGACACAGACAGGGTGTTGCTCCTTGTAGGATATAGGCCCTCTTGAAGACTCTGGCTTTTAAGAAACGCACACAGCTACAGAATACACAACCTCACGTTAAAAGGGTTCATAGAAAAACAAAAACAAAAACAAAAAAAAATAAAAGGGTTCATAGACCCTTGGCTTAAGAAACCCAAGCCCAAGACACGTGGAATTTTAGTCTCTTTCCTTTAAAATTTCCCTTGGTCAGTTTTAGAAAATGTAGATTATATCAAATGCCATTTCGCACGTTTGATTTCAAATAGAAGCTGAAAATTAAATCCACAATTTAATAGTTGAGATTGTTAGATTTAGCACCTGACATTATTGTGCTCGGACAGTATTGGAATTTTGTATACTTATACTCTTGTAGATGTTTTTAAAATATATGTTTATGAACCAACAAGAACTCTAGTTCTTGAAGAGGTCTTTTTTTATCACTAATAAAATGATTTAGCATCTCATGGCTGCAGAGCAGGCCCTGTGGTGTGGGGCCAAGGGCAAGGCTGGCTGTGTGCCCCGAAGCCTCACTGCTCCTTCCTGGACCAACTGCCATTTTATTTTTATTTATTTATTTTTTTAGATTTTATTTATTTATTTGACAGACAGCGAGAGCAGGAACACAAGCGGGGGGAGTGGGAGAGGGAGAAGCAGGCTTCCCGCGGAGGACCCTGGGACCATGACCTGAGCCGAAGGCAGTCGCTTAACCAACTGAGCCACCCAGGCGCCCTCCAACTGCCATTTTAGTACCTCCCTCACAACTGGGCCCCAACCTGGCCACAGGCAGTGGGTCAGACATCTTTTAACTCATTCTTTGGGGCAAAATAATCCCATCACTTCAGAAGGGCGTACATTAAAGAATAGACGTTGCCCTCTCCTGTGTGCATTTTCTCCTGTGTTACCCCAAGAGTCCCTGTGACTGTGCGTACCTCTAAGTGCTGGGGGATCTGCACATAGGACCCCAATAACCTCTCCCTGTGTATATACCTGTGAGTGGTAGGGGTGTGTGCACACAGGTCCCCAATGATCCTTCCCTGTGACTGTGTGTACCTGTCAATGGGGGAGAGGGGGTGGGTGCACACAGGTCCCCAGTGGTCCTTCCCTGTGACTGTGTGTACCTGTCAATGGGGGGAGATGGGGTTGTGCACACAGGTCCCCAGTGATCCTTCCCTGTGACTCTGTCCCTAGGAGTGGTGAGGGGTGTGCACATAAGTCCCCAGTAGCCTCTCCCTGTGTGTGTGTGTGTGTGTGTACCTGTTGAGTGGTGGGAGCGTTTGCACACAGGTCCCCAAAGGTCCTTCCCTGTGACTGCGTGTACCTGAGTAGTGGGAGGTGTGCACATAGGAGCCCAGGAGCAGAGGTGAGTATAAAGAAGAACCTATCCCAGGGTGGGTGCCTTGATATCTAAGTCAGCCAGGGTAACTGCCTTGTGTCTGTGGCTACTTTCTGGAGCATTTCCGGCCAAGGAGAGAGGGAAGGCTGCTGGGAATCTACAGGCATTCTCTTCGAAACACAGGAAGGGACATTTGAATTTTGCAATCTGCATATGATCCCTTGGGGTTCCCGGGCTGGGGCTGTGGTAGCAGCCAGCACAGCAGTCCTGAGGGGCTCACCTCAAGGGATCCACATTCTCTGTGTGCTTGTTTAAGGCTGGAGGCTGCCCGCCGCTGAATGATGTGTTAGGAAGTCTTATTCCTTCTCTGCTGCTCAATGAGTTCCACACTGACAGATAATCATTGCTGCACAGAATGTTCCTACATCTGCTCCTGTGTTCACCCGTCACAACATCTGAGCACCGCTACATGGCCAGGTGGGGGTTGAGGCTCTGGGATTGCAGTCTTGAAATGGGCAAGCTGCCTTCAAAGAGTTCCAGTTGAGCTTAGGGGACAGACATAAACATTGAAACCTCATTAAGTAAGTATAAAATAATGGTAAGTGCTGTGAAGAAAATGGGCAGTGGGAAGATAGAGCAGCAGCTCTCACATTTTTTGCACAAAACCCGTAACAAGTTTTATGATCTGGTATATACTTTATATACTGCATATATGGTTGAAACAAGCCTCACAAAACAGTCCTTATCTGAACGATGTGTGATACACTGACATTTGCGGTTCTGTGCGACTGAAAATAAACTGCTGTATATGCAGCAACTTGGGTGAAACTCAAATTATGCCGAGTTAAAAAATCTTAAATGGGTGCATATGACGTAGTTCCATTTATGTAACATTGGTGAGATGATGTAATAATAGAGATGGAGAATGGCTAATGGTGCCAAGGGTAGGGATGGAAGGAGGGTGTGGATGTGGCTAGGGTACAAAAGGGTATCCTGTGGTACTGGAACCTCGACCTCTACAGAGCTGCATGTGTGATGAAATTGTGTACTGTTAGATGTACACACAGATGAGTGCAGACATAGTGGGAAACCCGAATGCATTCTGGGCTGTGCCTGTGTCAGTCTCTAGTCTCTTTCACACTGACTGTACATGGTGTGTAAGATGTTAATACTTGGGGAGGCTGGGAGAACCACACACAGACCCTCCTTGCATCTTTATTTCCAACCTCCTGTAAATCTGTAACTACTTCAAAATAAAAAGTTAAAACTGCTGGCCCTGACCCCGTGAATTGATTATACAACCTAATGGATGACACGTACTGTTTGAAAAGCACTACTACAAAGCACTTGCAGGGATGCCTGGGTGGCTCAGTCGGTTAAGCGTCTGCCTTCGGCTTGGGTCATGATCCGAGGGACCTGGGATCAAGCCCCACATCAGGCTCCGTGCTCAGTGGGGAGCCTGCTTCTCCTTCTGCCTGCTGCTCCCCCTGCTTGTGCTCTGACAAATAAAATTAAAAAACAAAACAAAGCACCAGCAATGGGGGCAGGGAGGTGGGGTAGGCCTCAGCATCTGAGCCCAGACCTGGATGAAGAAGCCTGAGCCTTGTAGGGGAAGGAGCACACAGTCCACAAGGAACAATTAAGTGCCGTGTGCTGACCGGGGGTGGGGGTGGGGGTGGGGTTGGGCAGAAGGCGGAGGGGGGTCTGTAAGGTGTGATCAGGGGTGGTGAACAGCCAAATGCCTGCCCTGGCTTGTGCTTCACAGAACCCTCTGGTTGCTGTGCAGAGGAGCTACAGGGGTTGGGGGGAGTGTCCACCTGGAGAGATCAGTTGGCTGCTGCAGTGGAACAGGCAAAATGTGGCAATGGTGTGGACCTCAAGATAGCAGTGAGGTGGTGAAAAGTGGCCAGATTCAGTATTTGTCTCAGAGGTAGAGTTAAAGAACTTAGAATCCTTAGGCAGCATTTTTATCCAGTAAAAATGTTTATCTAGTAAGTTTTTAAACCAAAAGTGAACCACACACCAGGAAAACAATCTGAATTCTTCCTCAAATGAAATGTTTCCCTGGTTTATCTGCACTAAGGCAGCGAAAAACCCAAACCCTTTCTGAGGTAGCAATGCAAGTCACTAGGAGAAATGGCTATATTTGCTCACTGGACCTTCACTGTTATGGGCTGAATTGTGTTGTTCCCCACTCCCTCTAAATTCCTGTGTTGAAGCTCTAACCCCTAATACCTCTGAATGTGACTATTTATAGAGATAGGGTGCTTAAAGAGGTAATTAATTTAAAATGAGGTCATTATACTGGGCCCTAATCCACTGACTAGTAGTATCCTTATTACGAGACAGGTACAGAGGGATGACCCTAGGAGGACCCAGGGAGAAGGTGGCTCTCTGCAAGCAAAGGAGAGCAGCTTTGCGGAAAAACCAATCCTGCCAACACCTTGATCTTGGAGTTCTGGCCTCAAGAACTATGAGAAACAAATTGCTGTTGTTTAAGCCCTCGGTCTGTGGTACTTTGTTCTCGCAGCCCCAGCACACTAATATATTTACTATTCCAGACTGACGCTTGAATAAGAGTCAGGTGCTACGCCCTCCTAGGGAACACAGCAACTTTAAGTAGTATGTCCCAGGCTCGCTCCACTGTCTTCAGCCTCCCTCCCCAGCTTAAAATCCAAAGCTGGCCCTGCCAAAGATGTGAGGAAGCTCCCGTGCTCCATTTGCCCAATGGAAGGCCCTGCCTCTCCTGTCTGCACAGGTATGCAGACAATACACAGCACATAGGCCACACATCTTTCACCTCTGCTCCTTGAGGTACTTAGCTGCCTCTTGCTGGTGGTGTCTACTCTACACAACTGGAATCTTCCTTTTTACTGGGGAGCAGTGGTAGATGTCTTGGTCATTCTCTCCCCAGTACAAGGGGAGCATCTCTCACCCCCATCAATCCTCAGGTGAATTAATTCTGACTCAAACTTAAGACAGAGACACTTGATTAAACATTATTTATTCACAGCATGCCTGACTCTGTGACAAGCAGGCTTGAGCCCTGGTCATTCTGGTTCTAAAGGGCAGTGTGTTCTGCAGACAGGTGCCGCCGCTCTACCTCTTAAACTCCACCTGTGTGTACACCTTGGTGATATCATGGTATCTGCCTTCAGGGGGCTGGTAGTTGGAGATTGGTGGCGTGTAATCTGGCCCTTCTCTTTCAAAGGGGAACAGATTGGGGTCCCGCTTGGTGGCCTCCACATGTAGCTCTGGGGACATGAGTTGCAGCTCCTGCAGAGCTTCCTGCTGGGACTCAACCATGGACCTGATGGCATCCCTCTCCTTCTCATGCTCTTGATGCTTGTACAGAGACCACTTCTTCAGGAGCAGAGCTCTCCGTTCACTCTCCTCAAAGGGAAGCTCCACGTGAGGCCGCTGTCTAGGAACACACAAATCCAAAGGTGTGAAGCTGGGAAGCACCGACCTCACTGGCCAGGTAGTCTGGGTGACTGCATATGACCCAAGCATCCCCACTGCCAGACACAGATGGGAAAAACGTGGAAGTTAGGGATAAATTAAAGCATGGAATGTTGATGTGGTAGCAGCTACAACTGATGTTGGAAGCCAGTGCCATTTGCTTTCCATGGACATAAGAAACAGTGATGCTCTAAGAAGACTGCTAGCACTTCCTCTACCCCATGCCTAGACTACCTTTGGTGAGAGGTGACTGTGGAAATGTAAAGTGGTGTTATGAAAATGGAAGCCCAAGTCCCAGGGAGTCAAGAGCCCAGATCAGCCCTAGAATACCAAAAAACCACCCGCCATGTCCCACCTGTATGGCAAGATGCTACTTTATAAATGGTACACACTTTTTTACAAGGCAGCAACCCTGCCAGGCCTGTACGCAACACATCCCAACTATGAGCATTTGTACCATAAAGCTAGAGGCTAAGGGTTTTCTACCATCAAGATGGGACAAGGGCTGCAGACCCAAGGCCCAAGTCATCAGTCACAGCTAAAACTCATCTTACAAAAAAGCAACAATACGAACTAGCTTATCAAATAGTTATTCTGAGTTTCCTTCCCATTTCTGCCATTCAAGAGCATCACCCAGGAATGCTTTTGCCAACTCCCACAAGAAACAGTCAAGGAGAAAAGGACTCAGACTGGGACCTAGTCTGCCCATGCCCACTCACCTTTTCCTGTCACAGGTGTGAAATACAGACAAAACTACCAGAAGGTGATGGAACTCTTTGTCCTGAGAACCTCGACCCTAGAGAACACTTACCTTGCTTTATCCAAGAGCCTCACAGGTGTAATAAAATCTTCAATGGGAATTAGCTCCTGGCTAGCTTTCTCCAGTCGTCTGATCCTCTTTTTCAACCGGTCCTTTACTGCTTGATCTTTTTTAGGATCTACCTTTTTCTTCTTTCGCAGAGGTTCTGCTCTAATGGATAAAGCAAACATTAGACATTTTCCTCTTCAGTGTCGCAACCATGCTGAGAGACATGGCACTAGGTGAAGTGCCCAGAACTTCTACCATGCTCTCCACTGGGGAAGGAACTATGCATGGATCTAACCTCATGAGCTGAGTGTGAAAGGGAGACGGCCTCCAACCCAGGGTACTTGTCAGAACTGTGTGGGCACGGTCAACCCAGGAAGGGCTAGAAAAACTTAAGGGGGCATCAGGGTAAAAATTAAGAATAAGTACTCATCTTTCATGCTGGGTTTGGGTGTGTCTTGGGATTGCAATGGAAACTGAAAATACCAAATTGATGAGTTAGAAAATCATTACTCACATTTTAAATGGATTTGTGATTTTTTTTTAAATTTTATTTATTTATTTGAGAGAGTGCACTAGCCGGGGGAGGGAGAAGAACAAGCAGACTTCCCGCTGAACAAGGAGCCCCATGCAATGCGGAGCTCAATCCCGGGTCCCTGGGATCATGACCTGAACCGAAGGCAGATCCTTAACCGACTGAGCCACCCAGGCACCCCTGGAATTGTGATTTGTAAAAGTGATTTGAGTAATAAAAGTGACTGACACGTCCCTGTTCACTTTTCAGGATTTCTTAACAAATTTCCCCATCCTAGAGCATTAACAAAAGTCTGATGTACTCTCAGAGAACAGATCTCCTATGGTGATAATATACTATTAAAGATAAGTAAATCCTCCGGGTCGCCTGGGTGGCTCAGTGGATTAAGCGTCTGCCTTCCGCTCAGGTCATGATCCCAGGGTCCTGGGATCCAGCCTCGAAGCCAGCCTCGAAGCCAGCCTCGCAGCCAGCCAGCCGCCAGCCTCGCAGCCAGCCAGCAGCCAGCCAGCCAGCGGCCTCCCTGCTCAGCCGGGAGTCTGCTTCTCACTCTGCTCCTACCCCCGCTTGTGCTCTCTCTTGCTCACTCTCATGCATAAATAAATAACTAAATAACTAAATAAATAAAATAAAATAAAATCTTACAAAAAAAATAAGTAAATCCTCTAGCATCAAGACTGAGCTTTGTGCAGATGAATGGATAAAGAAGATGTGGTCCATATATACAATGGAATATTACTCAGCCATCAGAAAGGATGAATACCCAACTTTTACATCCACATGGATGGGACTGGAGGAGATTATGTTAAGTGAAATAAGTCAAGCAGAGAAAGTCAATTATCATATGGTTTCACTTATTTGTGGAACATAGGAATAGCATGGAGGACGTTAGGAGAAGGAAGGGAAAAATGAGGGGGTGGAATTGAAGGGAGAGATGAACCATGAGAGACTATGGACCTGAGAAACAAACAGGGTTTTAGAGGGGAGGGGAGAGGGGAGATTGGTTAGCCTGGTGATGGGTATTAAGGAGGGCACGTACTGCATGGAGCACTGGGTGTTATACGAAAACAATGGATCGTGGATCACCACATCAAAAACCAATGATGTATTGTATGCTGACTAACATAACATAATAATAATAAAAAAAAAAAGACTGAGCTTTGTGAATCAAGTCCCTAGAAAGCATCCAGACTCCTCTAATCCTCATGCCTCCCCCGACCTCTCCAAGCAATCAGATGTCTATGCTGTGTCCTTTAAAACATACAACAATCCCTTTAAAACTGATTTTTATTTAAACCACTTTTACGTTTAATTTTTATTTTCTGATTACAGGCAGCAGTATTCCACATACAGAATGCTGAAAAACAGAAAACATCTACCTAAATGTAACTGACAAATTTCGCAATTAATTTTGCAAACCAAATGTCCAGTGGTCTTGTTTTGTTCTGTTTATATGCACATCAGTCTCCTGCTGACACCCCCAAAGAGGTCAGGCCCACGGTAGTTTACCTCATGGGAATGAGCTCCCAGAAGGACAAAAATGAAGCTCGCTGGTGGGTGTCTCTAATCTGTGTCTGCCAAGTTCCCAGAAGCCTGAAAGAGACAAAAGGATATATAAATATCTGATTCTCCTCACTAAACAGGAAAAGAGGAAAAAGTTATGCTACCCTCAAAATCTGGGGCCCTGGTAATTGCTATGTGACAAGGTCAACGTGCGAGACTTTTCCAAAATCCCCCGTTCACACCAGAGAGCACTTGGGCAGGGTCCCTGCTCGCCAGGGTCCTTGTATTTTCAGCCACAGGAAGAGGCACGATCAGCTAGCTCCTCCCTGAGATAAAGTGGTCAAGGGCGGTCGGCGAGAGAGCACAGGCAAAGGACCCCACGCCCCTGCTGGGGTCCACACTCACCAACTCCGCGAGCGCAGAGCGCGAGCGGAAACTCCCAGTGCTGCTAAGGCCATGGCCCCTCTGGCAGTCGACCCGCTGCTTCCTGGCGCGCGCCCCTTGGCGGTCCGGCCCGCGGTACCCCTCTCAAAGGTCCGGCCTTCCCGTCGCTCCGCGTTCCCGCGTTCCGGCTGCGGAGGGCTGGGCTGACCTGGCCCGCCCCCGACGTGGCCCCGCCCCGCACGCCCTGGCGGCGCGCGGGCACGCCCTGAGCGCCTCGCACCTAGGGCGGCGTCCTCTTTTCCTCCTCTGCTTGACGCTGAGAGTCCTTCCCGGCTAAGGGCGCAACCCCGCCAGCGGGTGCTCCAGCTAGTCGGCTTGCGTCCCTGCGAGGGTTAAGACCCCGCAGTGCAGCCGGAGTGGCCGAGAGGTCGTCCTTCCGGGTCCAAGTGCCCACGTCTGTTTAAACGGCCCCGATCTTTCCTAAACGCGCTCGTCTCGGCCTCCCCCGTGACCACCTCCCTCCGCCCTCGGGGCTAGCTCGTTCCCCCGCAGTCGTCCGAACCCTGGGGCCGCGGCCACTGCCGGCCACATCATCCCGGCTCCGGCACGTGGCCTGGCGCTCGCGACATGCCCAATAAACGCGTATTGATGAATGACGGAAGCTAGCTAATTAGTCGGACTCGGAATCAGCGAGGTAGAGCTGGTGAGAGGCCGTTCAGGCCATTCCGACCCCTCCGGACTCCGCCGGCCCAGGCTGCAACTCGAGGCCCGGCTTGCCAGCCGCCCTCCTAGCCGACCCCTTGTGGGCGGCCGCGCCCCGGGCGGGCCCCAAGCGGGGTCACCCTGCCTTGCCCCTGCCCGCGAAGGAGTCCGGGCGGCCCCGTCCGCGTGGGGAGCGGTTTCCCGCCGGGGCGATTTGGCAGGTGCGCGCCGTGACTTCCGGCGTTGCCCGGGAGCCGCCGGAGGAGGAGCGGCGCAGGGGATGCGGCTGTGGCGGCGGCGGCGGCGGCCGAGCGCGGGGGGCGGCTGTGGCGGCGGAGGGGGGCGCGGGCCGGCAATGGCGCGGCGGCGCTGAGGGCGCGGGGCGGGAGGCGGCCGGAGGGCGGCGCGGGAGAAAGCAGCGGCGGTGGCTCCATGGCCCGGGCGCGCTGAGGGACGCGGCTCTCGCCTCAGCCCGGCGGCGGCGGCCGAACAATGAAGCTCCTGAAACCGACCTGGGTCAACCACAATGGTGAGTGCGCGCAGGGGTCGCGGAAGGCCGAGCCCGGAGTCGAGTCGGGGTCTGGAGTGGGGTTGGAGCCGCGCGCAGGCCCTGCCCGCCTCGCCCCCCGACGCACCCGGCGCCGGGTGTCCAAACTGCGGGGTCGGCGGGAGCGGACTTTGTCCTCCGCCCGGGGAAGCCGGCGAGCACGGGCACGTGCTCCGCCTGTCCTCAGCGAATCCGCCCTCACTCCTGGCACTTGCACTGAGCCCTCGGTCGCCCACCCGTGGTCCGTGGAGGAGCCGCGGCCTGCCTCCGGGGAGCGGCCCTGGGCGCCAGCCAGCTCCTGCCACTCGTCTGCATCAGCCAGGATGTGCTCAGATGGTCCGGTGTGTGAAACTGGGGCCCAGTCCCCTCTGTGGCTTTTCAGTGGCGGGGTGAACACCTGAAATCTGCCTGTCTCTGCCCCGCTGGAGGGGCTGTTACTGTTCCTGCCAGAGGCCTGAATCTGGTGACAGTGCCCTCATTTGGGGGACTATGGCTCGGTCCCCAAGGTCCCCAGCTGAATGAACCACGTTTATGCTGAGACCTCAGGGTGGCTTGGGTTGGAGCCCATAGGGCCAGGGGTGATCTAGGAGAGGGCCTTCCTTAGCCCTGTGGCAGTGGTCCCAAAGCACACCCTGGGGGAGCAGACTCTTCCACTCCTCTGGTTGAGTACAGATAAGCCCACAAAACTGGTAGAGCGGTTTGTCATAGTTGTACTTTGTTGGCACAAGTGCTGCAGGAGTTGGTCTTCGCTCCCTGGAGAGGTGAGGGGAGAGAGACCCCCACCCTCTTGCTGACAGCACTGAAGCCCGCGGAGCGCCCCTCCAGCCTTGGGCCTGTAGCCCTGATTCTAGCCTGTCTCTACTGACAGGAAAAGGGTCACCCTGATTCTGTCTTGTTCCTCATTTCTACTTTGCAACGCGACTAGAGGGAGCTAGTGGTTTTTTTGAGAGCAAGTAGAGGCCCCTTTTTTATACATGTGGAGCTTTTTAGTTTTGAACTTAATCCCGGGATGCTTCCTACTACCGCAACTGACCTGAACATCTGTGTTCTTTCAGTCAGAAGTGTTCTTTCCTTCTGTCTTCTTATGTGACATCGCTCATTTTTCAGGGTCCAGATGAGGTCACCTTTTTTGTTGTCGTTGACATTCCTCCTTTTTTTTTTTTTTAAGAAGAATATTTTACTTATTTATTTGACAGAGAGAGCACAAGTAGGGGGATCAGCAGGCAGAGGGAGAGGGAGAAGCAGGCTCCTCGCTGAGCAGGGAGCCCGATGCAGGGCTTGATCCCAGGACACTGGGATCATGACCGGAGCTAAAGGCAGACGCTTCCCCTCCTGACCCACCCATGTGCCTCTACATTCCTCCTGTTTTATTCCACTAGATGTGCCCTGTCCCTGTGCATGTACTTTCCATATGCTCTCCCAGGGCAGGGGACTGCCTCATTCCCCTCTGTATTCCCTGCTACATTTAGCAGTACCTTCACACAAAGGTATATGGTAAATATTGGTTGCAACAGGTAAGCTGAGGTTTCCATAATTTACAAAGATACAGCTAGTCTTACTGTGCATGAAAGCAAAAGTGGTGAACTTTAGTTGCATTTCTCCAAGTGCTGATCTCCAAGAGCATTTCCTGATGTGTAGTGTGTAGATCTTTCCCTGGAGAATTGGGCAAATGTTCAGTGATTATATATTATGGTGCTTGTGAGTCAGGAAAGGAAAAATTTTGCTGTGTAAGTGAAGATCTGAAGGAATTTTTATTTTATTTTATTTTATTTTAAAGATTTTATTTATTTGACAGAGGGAACACAGGCAGGAGGAGTGGGAGAGGGAGAAGCAGGCTTCCTGCTGAGCAGGGAGCCCAATGCGGGGCTTGATCCCAGGACCTTGGGATCATGACCTGAGTTGAAGGCAGATGCTTAATGACTGAGCCACCCAGGCGCCCCGGAATTTTTATTTTAAAATTCTTTGTCTAGATCATTTTTTAAAGATTTACTTACTTATTTTAGAGTGAGAGAGGGCAAGGGAGGGTAGGAGGGTGGGCAGAGGGAGAAAGAATTCTCAAGCAGACTCCCTGCTGAGTGCAGAGCCCAACAAGGGGCTCAATCCCAGGACCCAGAGATCATGGCCTGAGCCGAAATCAAGAGACAACCGCTCAACTGACTGAGCTGCCTAGGCACCCCATAGATCAATTTTTGTGTATAATCTACCCTTCTTCAGTCTTTCTTCTATCTCTTGCCATATAATTTCTAACTTTGTGATAAGCTCCTTAGTAGGACCCAAGTTTTATGCTATGTAAGCATAAGTATGTCAAGATGCTTAAGCGATTATCTAGGTACAAATGAGTGAGAGTCTGCAACCAGGCCAGCAGCCAGACATCCCAGGCTGGCAGAGTGGGCAGAGCAGTGGGCCCTGGCCTCTTGTTGCTGCAGTCTCTCTCTCCATGGTCCTAGAACGGAACAGGATGGTATTTGCTCTGCTTTCTTCACAGTACAATTGTGATCTTTGGTTGCAAAGGTAAACACAGAAGTGCTCCCCAGACTATAAAGAGCTTTAGAAATCTAAGAGATAATAATAAAAGAAATTGAGACTCTCACAGGATAGGATTTAACTTTCCTTTCTTTAAAAATCTCCTGAAATCAGCCTCTGTTTCTTCAAGTGTTTAGAAGGACTGTCAGGGTAAATTACCACTGTCCAGAAGGACATGATAATAATCTGGATCACTACTGAGTGGTCTTTTAAAGACTGGTAAATAGTGGGAGCTGCTGGGAGCAGGGGTTGCTTAGCCAGAAATCAGAGTTGTGGGCAGTGGCCAGTAAAATCACGCTTACTTTGGATTAACAAACCCAAAGACCATGGTGCTGTGGAGAGTGCATCATTGCACTTTCAGGCTTCCTGAGTCTGCATTCATACTCCTGACTCGTTAATGTGGCTTGAACATACTTTTTCTGGTGTCTGGGAGTCCAAAGAGGGAAGGAACAGAGAGCCCAGCATTTTCCCTGTGGTGGCAGGGTCCATTTAGCCATGGTGGAGAGGACAGCTAGAATAAAGCAGGTTAAAGGCAAAGGAAGAAATATCTGTCGGGATGTAAGCATACTTTCGGTCTCCATTTTCCTGGCTAATAATAGTGGTAAGACCTTTCCTCTAAGGTAGGGTTTCTCAGCCTCAGCACTGTTGACATTTTGGACCACATAATTGTTGTGGGGACCATACTGTGTGTTGTAGGATGTTAGCATCCCTCGCCTCAACTCATCAGGATACCAGTACCACCACCCCCACACACACCCAATTGTGACAACCAAAAATGTCTCCAGACATTTCCAGTATCCTCTGGTGGCCAGAATCAGCCCCAGTTGAGAATCACTGCTCTAAGGTGATCAGTAAGTTAATAAATTTTGAAGTTGTTTTATTCACAGTGAAATGAGCCTTGAACATGGAATCAGACTGGATTCGAGATGCAATCATTTATTAGCTGTAAATTCTTAGGCTTGTGACTCCACTTCTAGGCCTTGTTAAAGTTGAGGAAATAAAAAGATTTGTTCCTGTGTTTTCACCCTGTACCCAAATATAAAAAGACTGTCCTATGATACACAATAAGAGCTAATAATATTTATCACATATATGGAAGTATGTGTCAGCTACTGTTAACACATACACCTGTTTTACTCTTTGTTCTTGGATATAGTATTCCTTATATATTTTATTTTATATTTGAAGGTTCATTTCTAAATTAGGTTATAACCATATATTGGTCACAAAGCGAATGATTGGGTTTTTGGTTGTAGAAAAATGTAATTTATGTGTTTAGAAAATTTCATTGAGACTCATGGTTTTTCCCATCCCTGGGCCTTTGCTTCTGAGAGTTTCTGGAAGTCTTCGCTCCTCGGCAGACGATGTTCATGCTCAGCTCTTCAGGGAAGCCCATTCTAACCAGAAGGGCCAGAACTGAAAGAACTCTTGTCCTCCCTTGGCCTCTGGCTCACACTTTGATGACATTGTTGTAAAAAGGCATTTGGCAAGTTTTCAGTACTGGGATAATTTGTCAGTTAATCACATTTGCTTTATGGTGTGTGTTTTTCCTCCTGCCCTGTAATTGGATTATTTTTCCCCCTACCCTGTGTCCTTCCAGAAGGGATTTCAAGACATCTTTTGGGGCGCCTGGGTGGCTCAGTCGTTAAGCGTCTGCCTTCGGCTCAGGTCATGATCCCAGGGTCCTGGGATCGAGCCCCGCATCAGGCTCCCTGCTCCGCGGACAGCCCACTTCTCCCTCTCCCACTCCCCCTGCTTGTGTTCCCTCTCTCGCTGTCTCTCTCTCTGTCAAATAAATAAATAAAATCTTTTAAAAAAAAAAAAAAGACATCTTTCTGAGACGTATACTGGTGAAAATAAATAAATAAGCTTGAAGGGGAAATGCAGGCTGGGTGGTACAATAATGAAGTCAGCAGCGGGTGTGGAAAGGCCCTGCGCAGCTGCTTGAGGGGCACTGCAGACCTATCTCTGAGAACAGTCTGGGAGGGATCCTAATAGTGATATTTTATGATTGCAGTGGTCATTAAGATAAGCTTTGTAGTTTGTCTACATCAGGGGTTCTCAAACAGACCAATGTCTGGAAACACATTTTGTTTTCACAACTGAAGGGGGGCACTACTGGCATCTAGTAGGTAGAGGGCAGGACTACTGCTGAACACTCTGCAGCATATAGGACATTTCCCCACAATAAAGAATCATCTGGCCCAAAATGTCAGTGGTGCTGAGGTTGAAAAACCCTGCTCTATATAAGAACATTTTTATTGTTATTTGCCTTTTCATGTATTTGTCTCATGGTTCCAACTAGATTGTAAACTTCTTGAGGACAAAAATTTTGCTTTTTATTTCAGAGTCAGATAATCTTGTTCTTGAATCTCCGTGCTCTGCTGCTCACCAAATATGTGTTACAGAAGGTTCTTTTTATATCATCTCCTGATTTGTTAAATGAAGCCAATAATACC